GATTTCTGAATTTCGGACTGAGTTCGGGGAAGAACAGAACTGATTGTATAGTCAAGAGCTGGATTAGACATTATGCTAAGCAAAAGGAATCAAATACAAACGACTACATGTTTTATCCCTTTTTCTAATAAAAATTATATTTGCCTAGAAGCATACAGAATGTCAACAGAATAGTGCAGCTCTTCTTTGTGCACTTACAAAATGGTGTTTGCATCTGGTGTCTAAGACTTACTTCTGTAAACTAGCTACTCAGAGGCTAGATCTGAGGATCATGGTTTAAAGGGAATTGGGCGATTCTTATCTCCAGGTAACCTGCAAAAAGCCAGAAGGGAATCTGTGGCTCAAGTGGTAGAGCACTATCCATTCACAAAAATGTTCAAAGACAGTGCCTAGGCCCTGGATTCCAGCCCCAGTACTAGAACAAAAGCAAAAAAGTGGTGTTTGCTTATCACAAGTATTTTATTTGAGCTTTTCTTTCCCCCTTACTGTACCAGACAAGGTGAATGGTTAATTAAAATGCAGCAAGAGCTGGGCACCAGTGGCTCATGTCTGTAATCCTAGCTACTCAGGAGGCTGAGATCCGAGGATCGTTGTTCAAAACCAGCCAGGGCAGGAAAGTCCATGAGTCTCTTATCTCCAATAAACCACCAGAAAACTGGAAGTGGCACTGTGGCTCAAGTGGTAGAGGGCTAGCCTTGAGCTAAAGAGCTGAAGGACAGGGCCCAGGCCCAAAATTCAAGCCCCAGGACCGACCAAAAAATAAATAAATAAAATAATAATAAATAAAATAAAATGCACTAAGAGAAGGCTATCTAAAGACATATTCAATAATGTATTAAGTATATAAAGAAATACTACACAGTTAAAACTAAATCATTTACTTTTCAATTTTTTTCTTTTAAAAAGAGTTGCCTATGTCATTGTGGGCTTAAAGTTTTGTAAGAAAAAGAAAAATTACCGAGTAACTTATCATCTTTCTCCTCTTTTTTTTCCAATTTTTTTCAGCCTTGATGACTCCCTTTTTGCACTGCACCAAGCTTTCTTTCAGTTTATCTCAGAACCCTTTCATATTTTCCTTCGATTTAACAGTCTTGTTTCAATTAAGGTGCTTGTTGTCCACACAGTGCTATTCCACATCTCTCCTGGTTTCTTTGGGATATCAGTGGATGGGAGCCAGGATGTTCTTCTTTGTTTGACTTTTAGTTACTTTTTCTCAGTGAGTCAGTATCACCCAATGCTCCTCTGGCTCTGACTTGCCCCAGTGCTGTCTCTGTAGTACTCAGTGTACTGTAATGATTATTACTCTGTTTCAATAGAAACATAGAGGAAAAATCATGGGACTTGGGGTGTAACTCAGTGGTAAAGCATTTGCCTAGTATATGTGAGGTTCTGGATTCAATCCCTAATGAGAGAGGGAGGAGGGGGGAAGAGGGGAGAAGGGAAAAGGAGAGGGAGAGGAGAGGAGTTACAAAACCACCTAGTAGATCAGGGTTGCCTGAGAACAGAGTGGAAGGAGTGATTGATTGTGTAGACCCATCATGAGGAAAATTTGGGAGTCGGGGTAGTATTTTAAAACTGGATCATAGAGTTTGTTACATGAGTGTATAAATTTATGAAAAATTCTTGAATTACTTTTGAATTGTGTATGGTATGTTGAAAACTGTTAAAATATTTTGGAAGTGATTGAGATGGTTGTGGCTATATCAATGAGGCATGTCATTGTTTTATTTATAATATAATCATTTTGTTTAAAAATAAAAAAGACAAAAAGAAAAGTTTGGGTGCCTCAGGGTGTTAGCTCAGTCTTACAGTGCTTATCCAGTATGCATAAGGCCTTTGAGTCAATCCCCAGCACCGTAATGATTTTAATAATAAAAGATAAAGAAAAGTTCCATGGTTACGCAGCTACTAAGTGTAATTGTCAGTATTAGAACTAGAAGGTTTTTGACACACGGGCCTCACTTCTGACCTTGTAATATGTGCACTTTCTATTTTAAAATTATATTAATTTTTTTCTATATTTTATTGGTCAGAAAGTCTCTTACAATTATAAAACAGCGAAGTTATCAAAAGAAACAAAAAAACAGTGTTGATCCTGTTTACTAGACTTCCATTTCCTTTAGACAGGGATATATCAAGTTGTTACACCTTACTTGTCTCTTTATCAAGCAATATTCTCTCTTCAGATCATTAAGGTTAAGTTCATTAATTCTGTTGACAGCTTAAAAAAGTGAATAAGTCAGGTACCAGCGGCTCACACCTGTAATCTTAGCTGAATTCTAAGAATAGTAGTTAAAAGCCAGCTGGGGGGCAGGAAAGTGAGACTTTTATCTCCATTTAACCACTAAAAAGCCAAAAGTGGAACAGTGACTCAAGTAGTAGAGTGCTAGCCTTGAGCAAACAAGCTCAGTGAGAACACCCAAGGGCCTGAGTTCAAGCCTTATGAATAGCACATGCGTGCGCACGCGCACGTGCACACACACACACACACAAAATGAGTGAATGGATCAATCTATGGGCTAGGGTGTAGCTCACTAGTAAAACACTTGCCTAGCATTCAATGAAGCCTTGGGTTCAGTCCTCAGCACAGACAAACAAAAAGTGTAAATGAATATGTCTTCAAAATATGCTTACTCCTAGAGAAAAGAATACATATAAATAGATTTTATTGTTTGGTTTTTATGATGTTGGCATAAATATTGCTACATTAAAAGAGAGGGTGATAGAAGGATGAATATGATCAAAATATATTGTATTCATGTATGAAAATTGCATAATGAAACCCATTATAATTGTAAAAAAAAATAAGAGAGGGAAGGTACCATTAATTTGTTTGGCACTGGTGGCTCATGCCTATAATTCAAGCTACACAGGAGGATGAGATCTGAGAATCACAGTTTATAAACTGTGGGCTGGGCAGGAAAGTCTGTGAGATTTTATCTCCAATTAGCCACCAGTTTGTTCTACCACTTGTGTCTCAAGTAGTAGAGTACTAGCCTTGAGGATAAAAGCTCAGAGTCAGCACTCAGACTTTGAGTTCAAACCCCAGAACTGGCTCACAAAGGGCAGAGGTAGATGAAAAAGGGGGAATTAAAAATAGTAATACAATAGGTAGCAAATACAATCACAGTACAATATATGTATGTATGGCAATATTATAATGAACCCCTCTACTTTGTACAATATTTATTTTTAAAAATAATATTAAAAAATGTAAAATCAGTATTACTTGCAAATAACCCACTGATTAATGGTTGTCATTTTTTTCAAATTTTAACATATCTTCAAATCACTCAGATATTTTGTTAAATGCAAATTCTGAATCAGTGTATCTATAGTAGATCATTCTTTCATTCTGACAAGTTCTGCAAGCCTACCTATTCCTTGGTTCTTAGTGTTTGTGTAGCAAGTGATTAAGCTATAGTCTATATTCTAAATTCTAATATTGTCTGTCTTAGAAGACAGCTTATTACACTTCTTGGTAGTCTGGTCTATTGTCAACTTGAGTTGAAAATTAAAACCAGGGATTTAAAAAGTGAATTAAAATTAAGGACATGAAGGGACAGGTCATAAATACTTTTTCATTTCATTAGATATATTTAGATATATATTTCATATATATGTCATGTTTGTCTATATGTGATATTTACACACACAGACACATATATTTGGTACAACTAAGGTTGAGTTGCTGTTCAGAAAGAACTGCCTGCAGCCAAAATGATGCCCAAGACAAGAACACAGGAAGAGTATGAGGCTCTAAAGCTCTATATTTTGTATCTAATAGGATGGTTTGCATTATTAATTGACACTCTGTACTAGATATTTATTCACCTGCTTAATCTATTTAATAGAATAGAAATCTGGGAATCCTTAAAGGTTAGTTTTTTTGTCCAAGACATGGGATTCATCTCTGGATTATTTTATTGTTATTCATTATCCTAAACGTTGCTGTTTTGTTTGCTGATTATAATCCCAAATACAGAAAACTCAGGAGTCTTTATTCTAGGAATAGCTTTGTTATTTGATTTCAATCAATCAATCTTGGGTGGTATGGAAGCCAGGGGGCTTGGCTCCTGCCTTGATGGTCTGTCTCTCTGTCTCTCTGTCTCTGTTTTATGTCCGTCTCTGTCTCTCTGTCTCTCTGTCTCTCTCTCTCTCTGTCTCTCTCTCTCTCTCTGTCTCTCCTTCCCTCCCTCCTTCCCTGGGAAAGTTGTTCTTTCTTAGTAACTTCTCAATGATCTCAAAAAATTATTAATCAAGTAAAGGGTAACAGTTGTGTTCTCTGGGAAAGATGGCATAGGGAAATGTCATGTTGCTTCCTGATTCTTACTAAAACGAATCTAAACAATAACATCCAGTTTTTAAAAAAAAACACAGTATGGCTTTCATTTTAAAATCTAAGACAAAGCTAAACCCAGCAGACAGTAGCTACTATTGATTTGCTCTACTGATGAAATGACAGGAAATTCTACAGTCTCATTTGGAGACAGATAAGCATTGGTCTAAGGAGGGCTCTGATGAGAGAACCCAGAGCCCCACACTGCTAAGCGAGCTCTAACATCTCGACCTATAAAACTGAAGTTATTAACATCCCCACAAAAATGCTAATCCCTCCTTACAAGTAGGGTTCGGCTGCTTGTCTGTCCATCCAACAAATCAGGTTTGTTGGTGTGTTTCCAGACAGTGTGGTGTCGTTTCGGTTTTGTTTGATCCCTCTGCTTGTGATCAGGGAGAGCGATTAAAGTGTTTAATAGGCCCTGATTTGGCGGGGAGAGCTGCAGAAGCCCCGCTTCCTCGCCCCGCTGCTGGCTTTCCAGGCGGAGGTAGGTTCCCCCCCTTTCACAAATCTCTGGCAAGGCGCTTTGGCCGGAAACTCTGGAACGCAGCCAAAGGAAAGTGAAGTTCCTGGCGCTAGCGCGTGTCCTGCTCAAAGTGCCCGGCGCTAGCGCATTCTTCGTGCAGTTATTGGCTGGGACTCTGTGTGCCGCTGTCGGCCAATGAAGACGCTGGAGATCTGGCCCGGGCCCGTCCCCTTTCGGCGCCCCGGGATGAGGCAGAGACTGAACAGCCGGCGAGCAAATCAGCGGCAGTCAGAAAGCCATGTCCGACTCCGCGCCCAGCGCCCTAGCGCTAACCCGCTGAAAGTTTCTCCGAGAACCCGTCGGGACGATCGGGACCCCGCGAAGAGAGGAACTGCCTTTGAAGTGAGATGGTCCCAGCGGCCTGCTGGAGCGGACTGGTAAGCACCCGGAGAGCGGTGGGAGTTTTGCTTCTGCTGGCTGCCTTGAACAAGGCTTCCACCGTCATTCGCTATGAGATTCTGGAGGAGAGGGAGAAAGGCTTCACTGTGGGGAACGTGGTCACGGACCTGGGTTTGGATCTGGACAGCCTGTCAACCCGCAGGCTCCGGGTGGTGTCCGGGGCGAGCCATAGATTCTTTGAGGTGAACTGGGAGACCGGGGAGATGTTCGTGAACGACCGTCTCGACCGGGAGAAGCTGTGTGGGACACTGCCCTCCTGTACTGTAACTCTGGAGTTGGTGGTGGAGAACCCGCTGGAGCTGTTCAGCGCGGAAGTGGTGATTCAGGACATCAACGACAACAATCCCTCCTTCCCCACCGGGGAAATGAAATTGGAGATTAGCGAGGCCATGGCGCCGGGGACGCGCTTTCCGCTCGAGAGCGCGCACGATCCCGATGTGGGAAGCAACTCTTTACAAACCTATGAGCTGAGCCACAATGAGTACTTTGCGCTTCGGGTACAGACGCGGGAGGACAGCACCAAGTACGCAGAGCTGGTCCTGGAGCGCGCCCTGGACCGGGAACGAGAATCAAGTCTCCACTTGGTGCTGACGGCGTTGGACGGAGGAACCCCCGCTCGCTCCGCCATCCTTCCGATTCACATCACAGTGCTGGACGCGAATGACAATGCGCCCGCCTTCAACCAGTCCTTGTACCGGGCGCGCGTCCTGGAGGATGCGTCCCCCGGAACTCGCGTGGCGCAGGTCCACGCGACGGATCTGGATGAAGGCCTCAACGGGGAAATAGTTTACTCCTTCGGCAGCCACAACCGGGCTGGCGTGCGCGAACTATTCGCCTTAGACCTGGTGACCGGCGTGCTGACAATCAAGGGCCGGCTGGACTTCGAGGACACAAAACTCCATGAGATTTACATCCAGGCCAAAGACAAAGGCTCCAATCCCGAAGGAGCACATTGCAAAGTGTTGGTCGAGGTTGTGGACGTGAACGACAATGCCCCTGAGATCACGGTCACCTCCGTGTACAGCCCAGTCCCTGAGGATGCCCCTCTGGGGACTGTCATCGCTTTGCTCAGTGTCACCGATTTGGACACGGGCGAGAACGGATTGGTGACTTGCGAGGTTCCATCAGGTCTCCCTTTCAGCCTTACTTCTTCCCTCAAGAATTACTTCACTCTGAAAACCAGTGCAGTGCTTGACCGGGAGACCGTGCCAGAATATAACCTCAGCATCACGGCTCGAGACGCGGGATCCCCTTCTCTCTCAGCCTTTACGACAGTGCTTGTCCAAGTGTCTGACATCAACGACAACCCTCCCCAGTCTTCCCAGTCTTCCTACGACGTTTACGTGGAGGAAAACAACCTCCCTGGAGTCCCCATCCTAAATCTGAGCGTCTGGGACCCCGACGCCCCCCACAATGCACGCCTTTCCTTCTTTCTTTTAGAACAAGGAGCTGAAACCGGATTAGTGGGCCGCTATTTCACGATCAATCGTGACAGTGGCATCTTGTCAACCTTAATGCCTCTGGACTACGAAGACCGGCGGGAGTTCGAATTAACAGCTCACATCAACGACGGGGGCACCCCAGTCCTGGCCACCAACATCAGCGTGAACATATTTGTTACTGACCGCAATGACAACGCCCCCCAGGTCCTATACCCCCGGCCAGGCCAGAATTCAGTGGAGATACTGCCTCGAGGTACAGCTGCAGGCCACGTGGTCTCGAGGGTGGTAGGCTGGGATGCAGATGCGGGACACAACTCCTGGCTCTCCTATAGTCTCTTGGGAGCCCCCAACCAGAGCCTTTTTGCCGTGGGGCTCCACACAGGTCAAATCAGCACTGTGCGCCCAGTACAGGACACAGATTCTCCTAGGCAGATTCTCACAGTCTTGATCTCAGACAATGGAAAGCCACCACTGTCCACCACGGCTACCCTAACTGTGTCAGTGATGGAGGAATCTCCTGAAGCCCTGGCCGAGTTCCCTTCTGGCTCTGTCCCCCGAGAGCAGAATAAAAACCTCACCTTTTATCTACTTCTTTCTCTAATCCTGGTCTCCGTGGGGTTCACAGTCACAGTGTTGGGGGTGATCATATTCAAAGTTTACAAGTGGAAGCAGTCTAGGGACCTGTACCGAACCCCGGTGAGTTCCCTGTACCGAACACCAGGGCCCTCCTTACACGCGGACGCCGTGCGGGGAGGTCTGATGTCGCCGCACCTTTACCAGCAGGTGTATCTCACCACGGACTCCCGCCGCAGCCTTTCCCTGCTGAAGAAACCTGGTGCAGCCAGCCCACTGGCCAGCCGCCAGAATACGCTAAGGAGCTGTGATCCTGTATTCTATAGGCAGGTGTTGGGTGAAGAGAGCTCCCCTCCTGGACAGGTAAGAGTTAGCAAGTCATCGCTGAAATGTTTTAATGCTTGTTGATTCCTGCTCCACTTTCTGTAAGGTTCTGAGCTGTTTAATGTTGATGCATCAAGGTTTTCACCTGGTATCTCCTCTATCAAACTAGATGTCTCTGGAAGGAGGGTGGCCTGCTAGATTTGAGGTCTTATTTTAGGGTGAAGTTACTTAATTCACTTGTAGACTCAGTTCGTACTTCAGCACTTATTTGCATCACAAGCAACCAATCTTGCCAAAGGTAAACTTGAGCTTAACTCAAGATCTCAACAGAGTTGAGCTTTCTATCATTTGCTTTGGAAATGAATTATTACAAATATCTAATTCATGGCAGCTACTGGGAATATAAAAAATTACCTCCAATTTACTGCTTCCTTCTCAAAATGAATGTTTTTAAAATAACTTTCCTCTGCCGACACAAGTCCTCTGCCTCATTTCCAGATAATTTCCTATGAATAAAATAAATCTGGATACTCTTCACATTTATTTCAAGCACACTATGAGAAATAATTAGTGGACATGTTACTTACAGAATATTTTTATAACAGCAATGGATGAGCATTGTAGAAGATTTGGAAAATACAGAAACATATGAAGAAAAAATTTCAACTAACTATAATCCCCAAACCTAAATGCAACTATTTTAAATTATAAAAGTAAAAATTTTATTTAAAAAAAAGGGAGATGCCGATGGCTCAGGCCTATAATCCTAGCTTCTCAGGAAGCTGAGATCTGAGGATTGTAGTTCAGTGCCACCTGGGCAGGGAAGTCTGTGACTATCTTATCTTCAGTAACTACCAAAAAAAAAAAAAAGGCAAAAGTGGAGCTGTTGACTGTGGCTCAAGTTGTAGAGCACCAGCCTTGAGCAAAATGCTCAAGGACAGTGCTCAGGCCCTGAGTCCAAGCCCCAGGATGGCACAAAAGTAAATAATCTAGACAGCCCAAAAGAAACTATAAATGGACCTCTAGTGTTATTCAGACATAATGTAAAAATAGATATATTCATTTCCTTAGAAAAGTATATTTCATTCAGAATGCCTTGGCAAGGCCTGTACTTTGGAGAGAAACCTACACATACTCTTAATTGTGGTGAAAACTCTGTTATTTTGTTGCTAAGTGAGTTACTGCTATGGAATGTTCCATTTGGCAGTCTTTAAGCACTTCTCTCTATCTCCTTTGTAAGACACTTTCCCATAGGCAAAAAGAGAACATCATGACTTTTATAGAACTACTGCATTACATACTATATGCAAGGTATTTAGCACAGTATCTGGCATATCATGATTATTTATTATTTATTACTATTATTACTTATTAGTTCTTTGTCCAGTAAACACACCTTGACATGAAGACAGCCTAAGGTAATGAAGTAGAAGTTCATAGGGAAAAGCTAAGGAAGGATGAAAGCCAGATAGAATTGCTTTTGTGGTCATTCTAGAAACTGCTATTTTCCCTGGAGCCATGTTCTGGAACTTAGTTCTATGGTACAAACCTGAATCTCAGGCAGTACCCCAGAGTAGTTTAAGCACAATTTCTGGGAGTGGGACAAGTATCAGTACTTTTCATAGATCCCTAGTTGATCCTAATTAGAGAAAAATTTGAAAACCACTGTCTTCAAGTCCATCATTTAGCATATTTCTGTAGCAAAGGTCATTCTAGTGTTTACAGAACTGGAAGCCAGCTTTATTAGACCAGGCCCAACTTAAAAACAACGGACTAGGGGCTGGGAAGGTGGCTCAGTGGTAGAGTGGTTGCCTTGCATGCATGAGGCCCTGGGTTCCATTCCTCAGCACCATGTAAGCAAAAAGAAAAAAAAGCCGGAAGTGGCACTGTGGCTCAAGTGGTAAGAGTGCTAGCCTTGAGCTGAAGAGCTGAGGGACAGCTCCCAGACCCAGAGTTCAGGCCCCACAACCAACAAAAAAACAAAACAAAACAAAAACAAACTTCAAGTGTCCCTCAGGACAGCGCCCAGGCCCAGAGTTCAGGCCCCAAGACCAGACCCCCCCAAAAACAAAACAAAACAAAAACAAACTTCAAGTGTCCCTCAGGACAGCGCCCAGGCCCAGAGTTCAGGCCCCAAGACCAGACCCCCCCAAAAACAAAACAAAACAAAAACACTGGACTATAATTTCCCCAATTTTAAAGTATGGCAGAATAGTAGCTAGCTTTAGGAGATTATACTAAGAAAAACATAAGATGGTATTTCAGTCACTGAAACAGAAAATCTTCCTAAACCACTAGCACTTGGGCAACTGTCCTTTAAAAATCTAGAACTGAATAGTTGGTTTTTTCAGAGGTGAAAAAATTCTATAATTAGATCATTAAAATCATTTGTAACCGTGATTATATCAGTTCAATATAGGAGAATATACTACTGAAAACCCTCTAATCATACAGTTAGATGGAACTGTATGGTCCATCAATTAAGTCTCAATAAAACTGCTTTTTAAATGTAGATATAGGTTAACCACTTTATTAACACACACACAAAAAAACTAGGGAATAGGAAGGTAACTCAGTGGTAGAGTGCTCTCCTTGCATGCATGAGGCCCTGGGTTCTATTTGCCAGCACCACATAAGCGGAGAATGCCAGAAGTGGTCCTGTGGCTCAACTGGTAGAGCATTATTCTTGAGCTGAAGGGCTGAGGGACAGCTCCTAGACCCAGAGTTCAGGCCCCACAACCAACAAAAAACCAAACCAAACCAAAACAAAAACAAACCTCAAGTGGAGGACATGTGGGACAAAAACTGTGTTTGTAGTGTAAAGTTGCAAGTAGAAGTAAATACTGCACATACTAATTGTTTAACTTTATACAAGTCTCTTAACCTCTCTGAATCTCAAGTTTCTCATCAGGAAGTAAACACTTACTTTGTAAATATTTAATAAGCATTTGTTGAGGTGACAAATGACAATACCAACATACTTGCGTCATTATTAACATCCCTGTGGCGAGACACTGTAAAAGGTGAAAAGACACTCTCCTGCTCTTATTAGTTCACAGGGTTCTATATGGGAGACCATGTGCAAAAAGATAAAATAATGAAGGTCTGCATTCTATAAGCAGCAAAGGGAAGGAAACACCCAGAGTTTGGGGTAGTCAGGAGGACTTCATAGAGGAGGTATGGTGCTTGAGCTAAGAGCTAAAGGTTGAGTAGTAGCTTATGGAAAGGAGGTCAGTGAGGGGCTTTTGCAGGAAATATCAGGCAGAGAAATAAAGGTATCTCACTACTGCTGAACCTTGAAGTGTGATCTTTGCAAGTCTTCACCTCTTATAAAGTGAATCAAGTAGGCAGGGTTTTTCTTGTTTGTTGTAGAGATTATTCTGGCAGCCAAAAGTGAAATGGATTGGAGACAGTTGGGGTTGGAGACAGAGACCTGTCAGGTGGCTCTTACAGTATTTGAGAAGACTGATAAATGCTTGAACCAGCAGTGTCAATGCAGGTGGAGGAAAATGACTACAATTAAATCATTAGGACTTGTTGATTGGTATGATATAGGAAGCAAAGAACAGGAAGAGTCCACCCTTGAGTGGACATCTGTTCTATCATTCTAGCTAAGGCAGCCAAGTAATGGTGCCATTCACATAGTGAATTCTGTCATAAGCACTTTGTTAGGTCAGGATGATGTGCACCTCAGTCGTGGGAGAGAGGGTATACTGGGTTTTGTTGTTGATGTTATTGTTGTTTATGGGAGTGGTGTTCTGTTTTGAATAAGAACTCAGAATGAAACTGTAATGTTGAAACTGTAATGTTGATTGTTGGCTTCACTATAGACACAAGGACATTCCTGAAGAGCAAAGGTTTGGGGGCAGGGGTTGAGGGGGGGGTGTTGTAGGAGGATAAAAACATCAGTTTTTGCTCCTGGTTTTGGCAGCCAGTGGTAGCCTAGGTTTGAATTTGGATGAATTAACATATCTCATGCTCAGTTCAGCCTGGATTTTTCTCTTTCTCAGTGTTTTAGTGTGTTTGACATTCAGATTACAGCTTTCAGGTTTCTACAGGGTAAAATGTGCTGGGCTTCTGCACCAATGCAAGGTAGTATGCATTGCTAGGAGGTCTGAATAAGAGTGGGGGTGGGGTGAGATCTGGTTTCCAGTTACAAAAGGTCCCCTGAGGCTAAGTGAAAAGCAGATTCTTTTGAAATGGTCTCTGTTGGCAATTAACAACACATCTAGAATACCTTAGTGTCAAATAAAGAGGATTTGTTGACAACAATGCCTTGGGTGGTTGATCCCAGGCTTTCAAAGCTGTTCACTCTGTGAACATTAGCATTTGGCCAGGTAAAGAGACCTAGCCCTCAGCACCTCCCAGCCACACATTTACAGTTTTTTTTTGGAACATCTCCTTCTCCTGTCTTCCACCACCCTGCTCCATACTGCCCTTGAAATCAATGAATGGTAAATTTAGTGTTTCCCTAACAAATGCCTGATTAAGAGATGTTTGGTTTCTGGCTGTGCCTCCTGTTACAATCAAAACACGTGCTGCATAAATTTAATTGGCTACATTAACGTGTGAGCCTTTTCTGCGAAGAAATAATCTGCAAAGGGGCAGAGTTTGGGGTCTATGGCGGTGCTTCTAATTAGCTATTGCTCTAATACAATCAGTCAGAGACAGAAGCTACTCCTTTAGAGTATCTGTTGATGACAACACAGGCTTGAACAAAGTGACCAGTCTCAAATGGCCACTCACGCTGTGGGCTGAGGTTGCTAGGGCTCAGGCAGTCGCTGTTTTCTCCACTGAAAGGGGCGGGGTGAGTTGGTGTGTTAAATATAAATAAATATATAATATACATATATATTGTCTGCCTCTTCTCACAGAGGTAATGATCCGTGGGAAGAAATGGCAGTTGATAGGGAAGACGGTGAAAAAGATCGGTTTAGGTTTAATCTTATTTTATTATATTTTTGGTGTTTTTTTTTTCTTCCAATGCTGCGACGCATTAACCCTACTGCTATTGGGACGTTCTCTGCTCAGCCTATTGGTTGAGCCTAGGAACTGCTGTCTGCCAATCGGATGGTGAAAGGCAGACAAATCTACCCCGCCACCAGCAAAAAACGGCGCGTAACCCTTGCGGTGCCGGCTGAGCCGCGCCAGAGCTAGCGCGGGGAAAGGGAGATAGGTGTCTCCAGCTGCTGTGGCTGTTTGGGGCGGGTCGGCTTCTCCGGCTTCTCAGGACCAAGTAGAGACTTGGCGGATGGCAGCAATGCTCCGCAAGGTGAGAAGCTGGGTAGAGATCTGGCGTGAGGCTACCCTTTTGTTCCTCTTTTGCCACCTGGGTTACGTTTGTGGGCAGATCCGCTACCCGGTCCCAGAGGAGTCACAGGAAGGGACTTTTGTAGGGAATGTCGCCCAAGATTTCCTGCTGGATACAGAGAGTCTGTCAGCTCGCAGGCTGCAGGTCGCTGGAGAGGTGAACCAAAGACACTTTCGGGTGGATTTGGACAGCGGTGCCCTGCTCATCAAGAATCCAATCGATCGAGAGGCACTGTGTGGGCTCAGTGCCAGCTGCATCGTGCCCCTGGAGTTTGTAACCGAAGGGCCTTTGGAAATGTACCGAGCCGAGGTAGAGATCGTAGATGTGAATGATCACGCCCCCCGATTTCCGCGGCAGCAGTTGGACTTGGAAATCGGGGAGGCAGCTCCTCCAGGACAGCGTTTCCCCTTGGAAAAGGCTCAGGATGCAGATGTGGGAAGCAATTCCATTAGCAGCTATAGACTAAGCTCCAATGAGCATTTTGCACTGGATGTCAAGAAGCGCAGCGACGGCAGCCTGGTACCAGAGCTGCTCCTGGAGAAGCCTTTGGATCGGGAGAAGCAATCGGACTACCGCCTAGTGCTGACCGCTGTGGATGGAGGGAACCCCCCTAGATCTGGCACAGCGGAGCTCCGGGTATCGGTTCTGGATGTAAACGACAACGCCCCGGCCTTCCAGCAACCCAGCTACAGGATCAGCGTGTTAGAGAGCGCGCCAGCGGGCATGGTGCTCATCCAGCTCAATGCCTCTGACCCAGACCTGGGTCCTAGTGGTAACGTCACCTTTTCTTTCAGTGGTCACACCCCTGATCGTGTGAGAAACCTTTTTAGCCTGCATCCCACTACTGGGAAGCTGACCCTTCAGGGGCCCCTAGACTTTGAGAGCGAGAATTACTATGAATTTGATGTGCGGGCGCGTGATGGAGGCTCTCCAGCCATGGAGCAACATTGTAGCCTGAGGGTGGACCTCCTGGATGTAAACGACAACGCCCCCCACATCACCGTCACCTCGGAGCTTGGGACTCTCCCAGAGAGCGCAGAACCTGGCACTGTGGTGGCACTCATCAGTGTGCAGGATCCCGACTCGGGGTCAAATGGAGATGTGAGTCTGCGTATTCCTGACCACTTGCCATTTGCCCTCAAGTCTGCCTTCAGGAACCAGTTCTCCCTCGTAACTGCTGGGCCCCTGGACCGGGAGGCTAAATCCAGTTATGACATCATGGTCACTGCTTCAGATGCTGGGAACCCTCCTCTGAGTACCCACAGGACTATTTTCCTCAACATTTCAGATGTGAATGATAACCCACCCTCTTTCTTCCAGAGGTCACATGAGGTGTTTGTTCCTGAGAACAATCGCCCTGGGGACCTGCTTTGCTCCCTTGCAGCCTCTGACCCAGACTCTGGCTTGAATGCGCTCATTTCCTATTCTCTCTTAGAGCCTAGAAATCGAGATGTGTCAGCTTCTTCTTTCATCTCTCTGAACCCCCAGACAGGAGCTGTTCACGCAACTCGATCATTTGACTATGAGCAAACACAGACACTGCAGTTTGAAGTTCAAGCCCGGGACAGAGGCAACCCACCTCTTAGCAGCACTGTGACAGTTCGGCTATTTGTGCTGGACCTCAATGACAATGCCCCAGCTGTGCTCCGCCCTAGGGCCAGGCCTGGCTCCTTATGTCCCCAAGCACTGCCCCCATCAGTTGGTGCTGGTCACCTAGTCACAAAGGTGACTGCTGTGGACTTGGATTCAGGTTACAATGCTTGGGTCTCCTATCAGCTTCTGGAGGCCCCAGATCCCAGCTTGTTTGCAGTGTCTAGATATGCTGGGGAGGTGCGGACAGCTGTTCCCATCCCAGCTGACCTCCCACCACAAAAACTGGTCATTGTGGTGAAAGACAGTGGTAGCCCACCACTGTCTACCTCTGTTACTCTCCTAGTGTCCTTAGAGGAAGACACCCATCCAATTGTCCCCGATCTTCGAGAATCTTCAGCTCCAAGGGAAGGAGAGTCCCGCCTGACCCTCTACTTAGCTGTGTCCCTAGTGGCGATTTGCTTTGTCTCCTTTGGCTCATTTGTGGTGCTACTCTCTAAGTGTCTGCGTGGGGCTGCCTGCGGAGTAACATGCTTTCCTGCTGGCACTTGTGCCTGTCTCACCAGATCTCGAAGGAGGGAGGGACTTCCTCCTTCCAATGGGATTCTCCGAATCCAGCTAGGGTCAGATGATCCTATCAAGTTTGTGGATGTGGGAGGCCACTCTCATGGCTGTACACCCTTGGCTTCTGCACCCACTCGGAGTGATAGCTTCATGATGGTGAAGTCACCCAGTGCACCTATGGCAGGGGAACCTGTTCGCCCAAGCTGTCCACCCTCTGATCTTCTCTATGGGCTAGAGGTGAGACCCTGGTGGGCTCAGTCAGTGCTTGAGGGTTGTTCTGATCCAGGCATATGGCTGGGCCACATCCCAGAGACTACTGGCCTCCCTGTGAGACCACATGGTGACGGCACCATTTTTGTGAGTAGTTACTATTTGAATAATTATATGGTAGATGCTGTGCTTTACAAGTGTTTTGTGGCATAACCAGAACTGTTATAGCATTTGGGGGTGGGTTATGCCTGTATCTAACAGTAAGGCATGAAAGCAATTGTTGCTCAAAAACCAGGCTGTTGTATAGAAGCATGGTAATGCAGTGTGGAGCATAGAAGGCTGTAATGCACAATGGGGGGGTGCATGGGCAATTGCCTATACCCAGGCTATTCTTTCTGAATGAGGGAGTTAGGTTCTGGAGAACCCTAACTCTGTGTTACCATTTCCCAGGGAGATTGGGGGAAGACTAAAATCTTTGTTCCATGCTATCTAATACTCCCTGGCCTACAGTGAAAGGAACTGTATTTGGAGCATAGCAGAGAGCCAAAAGAGTAGAAAGCCCAGGAAGAAGGAAGGTACAAATCAAAGTGATAGCAAAAAATCTTTTAGTCTATCTTTAGGACTCTTGATCAAGCCCCTACAGGGATTTGAACTAGATTTAGTAGAGTTGGAAGCAGGGTATTTTCCTGACCTCTTTGGGGAAAAGTGGTAAGTGAACTCAAAATCAGAAAATTTATTTACAGGAAGTCATAGACAGCCATTCTGGGAGTCTCTAAATAGAGTCTTGAGTTTGGTGAAATCATAAAGGCAAGAAACCACTCTCCTGGGTAACCTAGATTAGCCCCAGAAATGTTCCCTTTCCCACAACTCTGATGCTCGTTCTTTTTTTTTTCTGGTCCTGGGACCTGAACTCTGGGCCTAGGCGTTGTCCCTCAGCTCTTCAGCTTAAAGCCAGTGCCCTACCACTTGAGCCACAGCACCACTTCCAGCTTTTTGTGCTTATGTGGTGCTAAGGAATCGAACCCAGGGCCTCATGCATGCAAGGCAAGCACTCTACCACTGAGCCACCTTCCCAGCCCCTCTGATGCTCATTCTATACTCTGAGTCCTCAGTCTCAGAAAAGCTAAGTCTCACAGCCATCAGCTTGTACTGAGAGTGCTTCAAAGCATTGTGGGAGAGTTGGGGCAACATTTCACAAAGTTGTAACAAATCTTTTATCCTATCAGATTCAGCATGCTGGGGATAAGGGATGGAGACGGCAATGGGGAGGGAAATGTGTAGGTTTTGTTTCTCCTAGAACAAAATTTTGTTGATTCAAGCAAAGTAGTGGAAGCTTCTGAAATCATGCAGGAAGTTGCTGGGACAGAACACTGAGGAGTTTTGTACCACTTTGTCTTCCCTGTTGAGCACCATCTGAGCTGTCAAACTTTGCTGCCAAGGGGGCTGAATCAACTTGTAGCACGAAATGAGTGGGGAGGTAGGAGACTTCTGTGACACAGATTTTCAGCGCCTGTTCCCAAGGTTTCCAGGACTAAAGAGACTTCATAATTGGTTGAGAGCAGACAGACTTTTTGGCCAATCAAACTCAGAGCTGAGGTGGGAGATCTGCTCTTCCTGCCCGCCTCTCCTCCTCCAGCTCCCCAGCTCCACTCATATTTAACTCGCCTTCCCCCCATCCACCCCCGCCATTCGGTGACTAAGAACTGCTGCAGGCAGGCAAACCTCTGACAATTTTAGAGGCTAGAAGGAGACATAAGAGATTTCAGCTTCTGCATCCCAAGAGCTGGGTCTGCCTTGGAGACAGGACAGCACAGTTACCCTCCAGGAAGGGACTTCTGGGTCATGGGGCCCAAGACACCCCCACAGCTCGCTGGGAAATGGCAAGTGCTGTGCATGTTGTCCTTGTGCTGCTGGGGTTGGGTGTCTGGGCACCTTCGTTATTCAGTGGTGGAGGAGTCAGAGCCGGGAACGCTGGTGGGGAATGTTGCTCAAGATCTGGGCTTAAGGGTGACAGATCTGTTGAACCGCCGACTGCGGCTGGGCTCTGAGGAGAATGGGCGCTATTTTTCCCTGAGCTTGACGAATGGTGCTTTGGCAGTGAATCAAAAGATTGACCGAGAGAGCCTATGTGGAACCAGCACCAGCTGCCTGCTGCCAGTGCAGGTGGTGACTGAACACCCCCTGGAGCTCATCCGTGTAGAGGTAGAGATCCTGGATCTCAATGACAACTCCCCAAGCTTTGCCACTCCTGAGAGAGAGATGCGCATCTCAGAATCTGCTACACCTGGGGCACGATTTCCACTGGATAGTGCCCAGGACCCTGACGTGGGTACTAATACTGTGAGTTTTTATACTCTGAGCCTCAGCAGCCACTTCTCTCTGAATGTGAAGACCCTAAAAGATGGGAAGCTGTTCCCAGAGCTGGTGCTAGAGCAGCAGCTAGATCGGGAAGCCCAGGCAAGACATCAGCTGGTGCTCACTGCTGTGGATGGAGGTACCCCAGCCCGCTCAGGGACCAGCCTTATCTCAGTCACCGTGTTGGATGTCAATGATAACGCTCCAACCTTCCAGTCCTCAGTTCTACGTGTAGGACTCCCAGAGAATGCACCTGTGGGCACATTGCTGCTCCGCCTCAATGCTACTGATCCAGATGAGGGCACCAATGGCCAACTAGTCTATTCTTTTGGAGACCATACATCTGAGGCAGTGCGGAGTCTATTTGGCTTGGACTCTAGCAGTGGAGCAATCCGTGTATTGGGTCCAATAGACTTTGAGGAGTCAAATTTCTATGAAATCCATGCAAGAGCCCGAGACCAAGGACAGCCAGCTATGGAGGGCCACTGTGTGATTCAAGTGGATGTAGGAGATGTCAATGACAATGCTCCTGAGGTGCTGCTGGCCTCTTTGGTCAATCCTGTCCCAGAGAGCACACCAATGGGAACAGTAGTGGGGTTGTTTAATGTGCGGGACCGAGACTCAGGTAGAAATGGTGAAGTAAGCCTGGGTATCTCTCCAGACCTGCCATTTCAGATCAAGCCTTCTGAGAACCACTACTCACTGCTCACCAGCCAGCCCTTGGACCGTGAGGCCATGTCCCATTATATCATTGAGCTGCTGGCCAGTGACGCTGGCTCACCTCCCCTGCACACCCATCTCACCATCAGACTCAACATTTCAGATGTAAATGACAACGCACCCCACTTCATCCAGCAGCTCTACACAGCTTACATCCCAGAAAACCGACCTCCTGGCTCCCTTCTCTGCACTGTGGCTGCCTCAGATCCAGATACTGGGGATAATGCCCGCCTCGCCTACTCCATTGTAGGGAGTCAGATTCAAGGAGCGCCAGCCTCCTCCTTCGTGTATGTCAACCCGGAGGATGGACGGGTCTTTGCCCAGCGTACCTTTGACTATGAATTACTGCAGATGCTGCAGATTGTGGTGGGAGTTCGAGACTCCGGCTCTCCCCCATTGCATGCTAACACATCTCTCCATGTGTTTGTCCTTGACCAGAATGATAACGCCCCGGCCGTGCTGCACCCCCGGCCTGGCAGGGAACTCTCAGCCCCCCAGCGTCTCCCTCGCTCTGCTCCTGCTGGCTCCTTGGTGACCAAGGTGACAGCCGTGGATGCTGACGCAGGCCACAATGCGTGGCTCTCTTATTCCCTGTTGCCACAGTCCACAGCCCCAGGACTATTCCTAGTGTCTGCACACACCGGTGAGGTGCGCACAGCCCGAGCCTTGCTGGAGGATGACTCTGACACCCAGCAGGTGGTGGTCCTAGTGAGGGACAATGGAGACCCTTCGCTCTCCTCTACAGCCACGGTGCTGCTGGTTCTGGAGGATGAGGATGCTGAGGAAATGCCCAAATCCAGTGACTTCCTCACACACCCTCCCGAGCGCTCAGACCTTACCCTTTACCTCATCGTGGCTCTAGCAGCCATCAGTCTCTTATCCTTAGTCACCTTCACCTTCCTGTCAGCTAAGTGCCTTCGGGGCCACGCCGATGGGGAGGGGGGCGGGGGCCAGTGCTGTGGGCGCCAGGACTCACCCTCTCGGGAATTCTATAAGCAGTCCAGCCCCAACCTGCAGGTGAGCTCAGATGGCACCCTCAAGTACATGGAGGTGACCCTGCGGCCCACAGACTCGCAGAGCCACTGCTACAGGACGTGCTTTTCGCCGGCCTCCGACGGCAGTGACTTCACTTTCCTCAGGCCCCTCAGCGTTCAGCAGCCCTCGGCCCTGGCGCTGGAGCCTGACACCTTCCGATCCCGCTCTAATACACTGCGGGAGCGGAGCCAGGTGAGGGCTTGGACCGTGCATCCACTCCTCCTGGGCCGGCTCGGCTTCTGGAGGGTTCCATGGGAACCGACTGCGACTGCGCCGCCGGGAATCAGAGTGGTGGGGGGAGGTGAGACAAGCCACCGGGTTCCCAGTGCTGAGAAGCCGTGGTGGTGGTGGTTGTGGGCGCGGGGGAGATGGGTCCGACCCCGCCCGCACCCTCAGAAAGGCTGGAACCGCCAAGCTCCTGGGGAATTTCTAGCGATTTTTTTTTACGGGGATTAGGGTCCCCACTGGAAGCTGTCAAAGATCCTCTTAAGCATTGGCCCCAGTGCGCCCCGCCGCTCTCTAGGCTTCCCCAGCCAATCCCTGCCCCACCCAACCGCAGGGGTGGAGAGGAAGTGGTTGACGGGAAGGTGCACCTGTGGCCTGCCCGCAGACCACACCCACGGGCCCCACCCGCCGCACTTGCGGCCTCATCTGTGGGCAAGAGTGCGTGGGCAGCCTTCCCTGCAGCCTGCCCGCTGCCAGCTGCACACGGGCCCATGCCCAGCATCCTTCTGCGGTCCTCAGACGTACTCACCTGGAGAGCGAGCGTCCCAGGTCTCCACTGCTCAGATCGAGGACTTAGAGCTTCTCCCCACCCTGCCTACACCCTGCACTGAGCCGGACCTGACAACTTTCCCCTAAGGCCTGAGCCTGCGGTGGCCCCTGGGGCAGGAGCTCACTGGGCATTTTAGACCAGGGCCAGCAGGATTTCCTGACTCTCAGGTCATTGGATCCTGCTGGGCCTGAGGCTCTATGCAAATGGGAAGTTCCCTCTTTCTAGAAGCCTCAGACTGATGGGCAAGGCTAGCCAGTATAGGCCAAGGAGAGTCAGGGTCTGGGATGGGCGGGTGAACAAGCTTTGATAGGATTGAGACCCCAGTAGCACCAATAGCCCATTCCTTCCCAGGCTCTGGACCTCTAGAAATAGGTTTTGGCTTTGTCACGAACGCTATGTGCCCAGTGATGTAGGCTCAGGGCTTTCCTGGTGACCAAAGTATCAGAGACTCTTGGTGAAACTTTCTTCCTCTTCTTCTGGCAAATGGAAAACCACCAGCCTTTGCTAGTGGCCAAAGATACTCTCATATGTGGGGAAACTATAATAGTGCAAGTGTCCACAACCTTAGGAGGTTTTATTCTAAATTATATCTATCCCACCACCTGGTCCCTACTGTATGGGCTTTTTGTGTGTGTCTGCATACCAGCACTGAGACTTTGGCTCAGAGATGGTGCTGTCCCTTAGCTTTTTTGCTTAAGCCTGGGAGGTTGGGGGCGGGGGTGTTTCTATCACTGAATCCGCAGTTCCACTTCTGGCTTTTTGGTGGTGAATTGAACTTTTCTGCTTGGGCTGGTGCCAGGCTTAGGCTATATTTTGACACAACGTCTTCAGGGTCTTCTGATAGCTAATTGGGTGAAGTTTACCACCACCACCTCTTTGAAGGATCTGGGTATTAGTTTGTTCTTCCCACCACATGCTGGATGGGTACTAGCAACCTTGTAACTTAGTTTCATGGAGGTCAAGCCACTTAGGATTAAGTTCAGAGTAAGTGATAGAGAATACATCTGACCCAGGTGTGTTGAACTCAAATGTGTGCTGTGAATGGCTTGGCATTTGTAATACTGGGAAAAGAGGCAAGAGACAGGGGGCATCTGCGAGGATGGGAAAAGCTGACATCCTTTTCCCATAGGGAGCCTAAAGGTGGAAGAAGGTCTTGAGAGCTCCTCATCAGCCCTCACTGAACAAACCTGGACCCATGGGTTTTGCCCACCTCCCTCTTCTGCCATCATGATCTTCACATGGATTCTGCTGTGTTTAAGAATACAGTGAGGGCTGGGAAGGTGGCTCAGTGGTAGAGCGCTTGCCTTGCATGCATGAGGACCTGGGTTCGATTCCTCAGCACCACATAAGCAAAAAGAAAAAAAGCCAGAAGTGGTGTTGTGGCTCAAGTGGTAGAGCACTAGCCTTGAGCTGAAGAGCTGAGGGATAGCGCCCAGGCCCAGAGTTCAAGCCCCACGACCAGACCCCCCCCAAAAAAAAAAAGAATACAGTGACCAGCCCCCCTGGCTCACAACAGTAATCCTTGCTAGTCAGGAGGCTGAAATCTGAGGATCATGGTTTGAAGTTAGGCTTGGCAGAAAAGTCCATGAACTCTTACCTTCAATTAACCAGCAAAAAGCTGGAAAGTGGACCTATGGCTTAAATGGTAGAAAGCTAGCCTTGAGCAAAAAAGCTCAGAGACAGCACTCAGGCCCTGAGTTCAAGCCCCAGGATTGGTACATGTGTGTTCACACTACAGTGGTTATGGGCTATACATCCCTATGTCCTTCTCCATGGAATCAGGTATAGCTCTGGGTGCACCTGAAAAGTGAAGCTTCTGGAACTGTCACCTATGAGCCATTAGTGTGACTGGAAGTGTTAGGGCTTTCTTCTCCCCAGTGTGATCTGAGATGCTCATACTTCACTCCTGGGAATGAGTGTGAGAACTAATTACCAGAACACCCCAGAACCCATGAGGACTTGGCTATAGGTGTACTTGTGCTAGTGTGTGATAGGATCACACACCTCCTAGAAAGACTCAGAGGGACTTGGAAATTAAGTGCCTGGCAGGGCCCTGGCACATTTGGCCAGGTGAGAGATGGCTACAGATCAGCCCCTTGGGGGCCCTGAAGACATAGTTGGCTCTGCTTAGAGGTTGTGGGATCTTGATCCTTCTGGGCTCCCTCCCAGCCATTTTCTCTGTCCCAGTCAGAGCAGCCTTGTTCTCCTCAGTCACAAGCCATTGTGTGGCATGGAGTTCTAAGGGTGAGAGGTGTCCTGGGGCTTGGATGCCCTGCAAAGGCCCAGTCTGGCATGACTCCTAAATTAATAATGTATTTAGCTGTGGGAAAAGATCCTTGAGAGCCAAGGCCTGGAGGGGGTGTCCCTCTGAATGTGTCATTGCACAACTTGGCAGGAAAAGGGTTACCCAGAGTAGCAGCCATTTTGCTGGAGAGGAGGCTTTGTTTCCAGCTGAGGAGCTGAATAACTTTATTCCAGGACTGGTGGAATTCTGTGGAAAAGCCTTCTCTGTCACTTCTGAGGGCCTTCTCTGCCTCCCTCCTCTCCCCCCAACCCCCACCACCAGCGCAGTTCTAAGCAGACACTGCTCAGTTCTTGCATTTTGGCTCAGAAGTTTGGAGTCGTTTTTTCTTCTATTCATCTTTTAATCAGTGTGTATTAATTGTACAAAATAATGGGTGTCATTAGGACATTTTCATACATGTATATAATGCACTTTGATCATATTTACCTCCCATTATCCTCAAAAGGGACCATTTCTTTGGCAAAGAAATCTGGGCTTGTTCATTATGATCAGATGAATTGTTTTGTTTGTTTGTTGTTGTTGTTGTTGTTGTGTGTTTGATTGTTTTTGTCTCTGGTACCTCAGACCTCAAAGACCTGTGACGATGTTCCTGCCTCCTCCTACCCCCATCTTTGGAGATGTGTCTACCCTTCTCCATTTTACCACATTTCCTAATTTTGCCCACTCCTCTCCTTCTCCTAGCCCATCCCCAGGGGCTCTGATGACAATCTGACTGCACGTGGGTACTCAACCCCTTTCCCTCTGTTTTCTTCACAGCAAGCCCCGCCCAACACGGATTGGCGTTTCTCCCAGGCCCAGAGACCCGGCACCAGCGGGTAGGTGACTGATTCTCCAGCCCACCCTCTTCTTTGCGGCATTTTCTCAGTGGTGACGTGGGAGGAAGAAAAGCGGGGAGGGCTGGGCATGTGCTACAAATGCCTTCTTTTTCTTGGGTTCAGATTTCAGGAAGATTTTAGTGTATTGGGGGCTGGGTTACAGACCCCAGCAGGAATAGACATCTTCCCTGATTAATTAGGAAGCTGAATTCACATACTTCCCCCACATACTCCCTTCCCCCCACCACTGGGACATTTTCCAATCTCCTGAGTGCTCCAAGGATTTTCTCTGGAGAGAGGGGAGGCTTTCTTTATCTATCAACTGCCTAAATCCTCTCCTCCTTGTTGAGCCAGGCTCCCTCTGACCTGGGGCTCAGGCAGAGAAGTGGGAGGCAGGAGCAGAGTGAGGAGGAGCAGAAGGAGGTTGTCAGTCATCAGAGCCGCCCCCAGAGCCTTTGAGGCGAAGGGAGGTGGGGGCAGCGGTGAAAGCTATGTCTGCGCACCTGGAGACAAAGCTGCCCCGGGGAGATCTGGGGCAAATCTTCCTGTCCTGCTTCTCCTCCAGTTGCCTTCGGCCCTCACTTGTCCTGCCCCATCAGCCTGCAGGACTTTGATCCCTTCCTCGTCCTTTTTTTTTTCAGCCTGTGTCCCTGCCACCATCTCCCATGTCTCTATCTTAGTCTGTAGTTTCTGCTTCTCCCTTTTTAGTCTCTCTCTCAGGTTCTGTCTTCCCTACCATTTGTGTCTTCTTACACACCCAGTGCCCTGAGCATGAGTGCTCAATAAATGTGGAAGGAGTGAGTAAATGTCACTCTCCCTTGGTCTCAGTTTCCGTTTTCTCCTTTTCTCTCTGTCTCTGCATCCCTTTCAGTATCTTTGACCTTTTATCTTTGTCCCTCTCTATCTCCCATAATTTCTCAGTTTCTATGTTCTTCTGTCTCCAGCCTCCTCCTCCCTCTGCCTCGGTTTTGGCTTTCTTCTCCTATGCTCTATCTTCTCTCTGTCTTTAACTTTATCTTTCTATACATCTGTCTTTGTGCTTCTCTCTCTCTCTCTCTCTCTCTCTCTCTAGCTTGTCCCCTTTTCTGAGCTGCTGTCTCTATCTCTCATTTCTTTGTACTCTGGGCAAGCCAGCACACACAGTCCCCGACTCCTGCCCCTCACACACAAAGCCTTTGATCACTGCTCCCCACCACTTCCCCTCCCACTCCGACTGCCCCAGCTGCTCATTTCAATCTCCTATGAATTCCTGCTAAGACAGGAACCCCCTGCGGGTGGGGGGACCTCAGCAGAAAGGGTCTAAGCAGAGCAGGATGGGCTCCAGGCCAGGCCTCCCCGATAGATGCCAGGAGCTTCAGTCCAAAGAACCCAGGGAGAGAAGCTGGGCTTGGGTGCTGCCAGTGTTTCCCCAGATCCTGAGATTGGGCTTTTTACCCCTGTTTTCTTACCAACCAGGTTCTCTTTGGGTTGGACTTTGAAGGGTCTTGGTGTCTAGAGCAGATTTAGCTCTTGGGCATGCACAGTCCTGTCACTGGCATCAGGAATGCAAAGAACTTTCTAGAAGGCCTCTCAGATGCTGCAAACCAGAGGCTTGGACTGCTATTGCCCCACTTTGACCCCAGCTGTTTCTCTTCTCTCTAGGGCCTCCTTGCCAGCCTCCTTATAGGCTATCCATTAACTCATCCATGTATTCTTTCATGGAATGGTGAAACTATTCAAGTCTTCTTGTAAACCCTGGACTATAAGAGTAGACAAGCAAGGGGCTGGGAAGGTGGCTCAGTGGTAGAGCGCTTGCCTTGCATGCATGAGGATCAGGGTTCGATTCCTCAGCACTACATAAGCAAAAAGAAAAAAAGCCGGAAGTGGCGCTGTGGCTTAAGTGGTAGAGTGCTAGCCTTGAGCTGAAGAGCTGAGGGACAGTGCCCAGGCCCAGAGTTCAGGTCCCATGACCGGACCCCCCTCCCCCCAAAAAAAGAGTAGACAAGTAAATCCAATTCCCAGATTCATAGCAAAGGAGAAAAAAAACTGGCAACAAATCACAATAAAGAAAAAAAGTCTAGTTACAAACCACAGGATGTTCTAAGAAGAGGATGAGGGCTGGGAATGTGGCTTAGTGGTAAAGTGTTTGCCTAGCATGCATGAAGCCCTGGGTTCGATTCCTTAGTACCACATAAACAGAAAAAGTTGGAAGTGGCACTATGGCTCAAATGGTACAGTACTAACCTTGAACAAAAGAAGCTCAGGAACAGTGCCCAGGCTCTGAGTTCAAGCCCCAGGCAGGACTAGCAAAAAAACAAAAAATTCAGTCAGGCTTCTCAGAAAAGGTGATGTTTGAGCTGCCAGCTCTGATAAGTACCCCAGCCAAGCCAAGCCCAGCTGTACACCCACTCTGAAGCAGAAGTCACTTGTGTGCCTGGAAGCCTCACCAATTGCCTTTCATGGCACCCCTCCAGATCTGGAAGGAGAGATGCACCGTTACTGCAAGTTCCTTCCAATCACTGAGAGGCTTGGTAGCCTGGGAGAGATGGAGAAAGCTCAGGAGAGCTCTTAGTTAAGTCACTGAGGATAAAACAGATATTTCTGATTCAACTGGTAGAGTCTAACCCAGCAACTTCTGCTTCGCTCCATCATTCAGTCAACTCTTAGTAAGCATCTTCTGGAGACCAGACAGTGTGCCAGGTGTGAGAGAGATAAATCAGGCATGGTCCCTGCACTCCAGGTTTGCAGTGTGTTGAGGGAGAGACAATACTGATTAAACAACCACAAAAACAAGTACAAGATTCCAACTGTCTAAGCGCTGTGCATGGCAATACCAGATGCTGAGAACATGGGTTGGGAATTTGACCTAATCAGGGGGCAGGAGGCCATGCAGAAGGAAATGTGCCTGTGTTGAGATCTGAAGGATGAGTACAAACTAGTTGAAGACAAGTGGGAAGAGGACTCTGGCTGTATACAAAGGCCTTATGGTGAGGCTTCTCAGAATCAAGGAATGACAGGGAGTTGTGACCATCTTAATAAGCGGATTGAGCCAAGTGCTGGTGGTTCACACTTGTAATCCTAGCTACACCGAAGGCTGGGATCTAAGGATCCTGTTTTAAAGCCAACCAGGGCAGGAAAGTGTGTGAGTCTTTTTTCCAATTAACCACAGAAAACCAGAAGTGGAGCTGTGGCTTGTAGTGGTAGAGTGCTACTAGCCTTGAGCAAAAGGAGCTCAGGGACAGCTTCCTGGCTCTGAATTCAAGCCCCATGACCAACCCCCGTCCCCGCCCCCCAAAAATGCAGATTGGAGTTAGAGGATGAAGTGAGGATATTTCTCTTATTCAATCTAACCTGGCTTTAGTCATCATTGCTTTCCTACCCTAGTCCCTTTCCATTATTATGCACATATCCTGACAGCTTATCTGATCAGTCAAGCCTATGTTGAATTCATCAGAAAACCTGGCCCAGGCTAGAGCCAGTACTAAGTCTCACTGCCTAGACAGAAGGAAGAAAAACTATTACAATATTCAGAAGCCCTTACCTGCCACAAGCTTCTTGTACATTCTTAGATCACCCTTTTACCTTCTGATCTCAGCAACTGTTGTCCCAAGCCCTGAGCCAGCAAAGCTGGGTAACAGAGGCCCGCCCTGCCCTGCAGCTGTTCCCAGCTTCTGCAGAGCTTAGTGTTTGGCTTCTGACACCACCCTACTCTCCTAACATTCTCCACCCTGTGGCCTAATTGTGAATCCTCTTCTGTCTGAGACACACTCTTCCTGTTCTATCTCCAATTAGGCAATCATTCAACAAACAAGTAACAGCATTTGTTGTGCTTATAAAATAATACATATTTATCATAGAAACATAAATAAGAAATAATCAAGAGAAACTACTCATGTTTTTATAACCTAAGAAGAACACTATTATTATTATGAGGCTTTAATGTGGACCTGCTGTTGGCTGCCTTGTTCACAGCTGGCACGCTACCAGTTGAGCCATGACTCCAGCCCAGCCTTTTGCTGGGTAATTTGGAGATGGAGTCTCATGGACTTTTCTGCAAACATCCTTCAGATCTTGGCCCTGAGTAGCTAGGATTGCAGGCATGTACCACTCATGCCTGGCAATTAATTTTTTTTAATGTGGAAAAAATTTCATAGATACAAAAGTAGTGAGGTAGTGTGATGAACTTCTGTGGTCCTACTATTTGGCTCTAACTCATATCCTATTTTGTGTTATGTATCTCGCATCCTTCTGACACCTTTGCATTATTTTGAAGCAGATCTCAGATATAACAATTTCGTCTGAGTCTTCTCTAAACATAATTTCATCTAAGTCTTCATTATCTTCAACAATGTGGTCAAACAGCATGCACAAGATTTGTGTTTTTGCTTTTAAAATCTGATCCACCTAACTGAATTGTTACTACACTTACCATTTAGAAAAACTTTGATTGTAAAACAGAAACAAAAACATCCAGGCAGGGGTGGCTCATACCCATAATCCTAACTACTCTGGAGGCTGAGATCTAAGGATCTCAAAACCAGCTCAGACAGGAAAGTCTGTAAGACTGTTATCTCCAATTAACTACCAAAAAACCAGAAGTGAAAAACTATGGCCCAAGTGGTAGAATACTAACCTTGAGCAAAAAAGCTCAGGGTCAGTACCCAAGCCCTGAATTCAAGCCCCAGGACTGGCACAAAAGAAAGAAGAAAGAAGGGGGCAGGGAGGGAGGGGGGGGAGGAAAGAAGGAAGAGAATAGAAAAGAGAAAGAGAAAGAAGAAAACAAAAAAAGTTTCATTCTCAGTCAAATTTCTTACAAAGTTTGTCTGGTTTTTTTTTTGTTGTTGTTGTTTTTTGCTAGTCCTGGGGCTTGAACTCAAGACCCTAAACACTGTCCCTGAACTTCTTTTGCTCAAGGCAAGCACTCTATCACTTGAGCCATATTCCCAGCCCCTGTTTTTGGTTTTTGAGATAGGTTTTTTTGAGATAGGTTTTTTGAGATAGGTTTTTTGAGATAGGAATCGAACCCAGGGCCTCAGGCATGCAAGGCAAGCGCTCTACCACTGAGCCAACTTCCCAGCCTCTCTTTCTCTCTTAAAGCTAGAGATTTGACCTGGGCACTGGTGGCTAACACCTGTAATCCTAGCTACTTGGGAGGCTGAGATCTGAGGAGATCGTAGTCCAAAGCCAGCCTGGGCAGGAAAGTCTGGGAGACTCTTATCTCCAATAAACCACTAGAAAACCAGAAGTGGTACTGTGGCTTAAGTGGTAGAGCGCTGGCCTTGAGCTGAAGAGCGCACCCAAGTCCAGAGTTCAAGCCCATGACCGACCAAAAAAAACCCCTAGAGCTTTACCACCATAGTCTCATGGACTCTCTTACCCTGGCTGGCTTTGAACCACAATCCTCAGATCTCAGTCTCTTGAGTAGCAAGGATTACAGATAGAAGCCACCAGCACTTGGCTGATATTGATATTTTAACAGTTATATCCAGGCTGTTATCAGGCTGAAAGTCAACCTGACTTTCCCAGACTGCTCACTTTTTTTGAGCATGTTGCAAGAACCATTTTTAGAGGTACTACCTCCTTCACTTATATACCATAGTGCATCAGGACATAAATGCTTTATACTGTGTCATCTCTGAAATTCTAGGGTCTGTCACCAGTACATAGTAGGTGCTTAGAAAAATGGCCTGCTGGATGTAGTCCCTGGCCTCCACGTTCACTTTCACCTTTCTCTAGATCCTGGAAGAGACCCCACATCTGCTTCTGGGGTTCTGAGGCCTCCCCATTGAAGCTTAGTTGGCTATGGGTAAGCTTGCAGGCTCAGGGGTCATATTAGGACATTTAGGTTGCAGCTCTGTCACTTACCAGCTGTGTGACTTTGAGAAGGCCTCTGAGCCCTGATTTTATCTGTCAGAAAACAGAGATAATCATAACCTTTATCTGTAGGGTGGTATTTTCATCTGAGGATAAAACAGATGATAAATACATAACCCAGTTGGCCCAGTGCTCAGCCTAGGGAGCTCTCAGTGAATGGTTACAAAGAAGTCCCTCCCCCTCTGATTATTTTCTTGCCCAGCTTCAGAGAGCTGGCAGCCTGCCCACCTGCTTTTCCTCTAGCCTTCAAGAACCTCCTGAAGAATCCTCCTGACGGCGGGTTTCCAGCTGCCCTTCTACTCACGTCCTCTCTCCTTACCACTGTCCACCCCACTCAGCTATGGGGTCTCCCTCTTATCCCAAAGCTCTCCTCCCTCCTACTCCTCTTGTTTTCTCTCCCCACTTTATCCCCGTCACCTGGGCCTGAGCTCACTTGCCCCAGAGCTCGGTCAGGCTGGAAATGAGGACTTCCTAATTTTCATAGAGACAGAGGTGACTGACTAAAGATCTAATTTTAGGCTCCTGTCTTCCCAGGGGAGCCTGACTCTCATCTCAGCTCCTTTGCAGGAGAATGAGTGAGTTTTTGTTTTTTGTTTTTGTTTTTGCCAGTCCTTGGGCTTGAACTCTGGACCTAGGCACTGTCCCTGAGCTCCTTTTGCTCAAGGTTAGCACGCTATCCCTTGAGCCACAGTGCCACTTCCGGCTTTTTCCTGTGATTAATTGAATATAAGCGTCTCACAGACTTTCTGTTCACGCTAGCTTTAAACTGCAATCCTCAGATCTCAGTCTCCTGAGTAGCGAGGTTTATAGGCATGAGCCACTGGCACCCAGTGAATGAGTGAATTTTAAACAATTAAATAGAAGAATGCCTTCAGAACTCGTGAGCCAAAGTGTATCGGGTCCATTCCACTGTCCCAGCCTTATACCACCTACCCTCAAGGGCTGAGGACCAGTTGCTGCCCAGCCTGGAAAGCACTTCCCAGTACCACACCTCTCCTGGGTGACTTGTTTTATTTTAAAATGTCTGAAACCTGTCAGAAACTTGAAGGAATAGTATGGTGAACATCTAAGCACTTTTTTAACCTAGATTCATCAGTGGTTCATATACTACATTGTTGTTTTATCTTTCTGTGTAGATATGTACACAAACAATACACATACTTCGTGTGTGTGTGTATGTGTGTGTGTGTGTGTGTCTGTGTGTGTGTGAGAGAGAAAGAGAGAGAGAGAGAGTTTGGGATTTGAACTCAGGCCCTGTGTGCTGTCCCTGAACTTTTTTTGCTCAAGGATACCACTATACCACTTGAGCCAGCGCTCTACTTTGGGTTTTTTTGTGGGCATAGTTTATGGAGACAAGAGTCTCACTTTCCTGCCCTGGCTGGCTTTGAACTGATCCTCAGAGCTCAGCCTCCTGAGTAGCTAGGATTACAGGCCTGGCTTGTAATTTATTTCTGAATCATTAGAAAGTAGATTTCAGACATAACATTTGACACTTCAGACTTCTATATAACCTCAATGATCATATTTGAAGAATTTAGCATTAATAATACACAACCCATCAGCAGAATTTCCCAATGTTCCCAATATGTCTTTTCTTTTTTTGTGTGTCATTCCTGGGACTTGAACTCAGGGCCTGACCACTGTCCCTGAGTGTTTTGTGTTCAAGACAAAAAAAAAAAAAAAGGATCCTCAGATCTCTCCTGTCTCTTCGTAAGTGCTTAGCTTACCTTCAAACATGGGGGCTTAGTGAATTCTCCCTCCTTAGCCTCCTAAGTGCTAGACCTACAGGCGTGAACCACTGTGTCCAGCTTTACAGACGTACTTTTATTTTACATTTTATGGTGCCAGGGATTAAGCTCAGATCCTAACTTGCACACAGTAGGCAAGCATTTCAGTATGAAGTAACAACCTTAGCCCTTGGTTTTTGTTTTCTGTTTTCCATATAGTCATTTTGTAGCTTAGGCCGGCCTTAAACTGGAGATTTTGCCTCTGGGGTGACAGGCCTGTGTCACCATGCCTCATGAACATATTTTTAAACATTTGTGACTAATAAGTTATCTATGGAGGATGCTTTGAAGTCTCTAACTCATTGTAGTATTTTGGAATTCATCAATGAGCAGTACCTAAGTCTATTTTTGCATGAGTA